AAAATACTAAACTACAACGTCATTAAAGTACGGTTAGTGATGTTTTAGTAAATGTTTTCCTATGTAATAAATAATAAATGACACACAGCTAAAACCACTTCTATTGTTTTTTATACCATAAAATTGGTAAATCTTGTTTGAAACTCAATTTAATTGGAAGAGAATTAAAACACGTTTCTTTTGAAGTAACATTCATACTTCTAGGATAATTAGTTTTAATGCAGCAATGTCTTGAAAATTTCCCCCCTTTTTTTGCTCATATCTCAAAATCGGGCGCTGTGGCTTAGCGATATTTTAGCTAACGGACGGCAGTAATAAGCAACATACAGCTGTCAGACATTCTGAGTTCTTTGTAGTACTTACATCCTAATCTAATAACACACACTACCAGTGGTCAGTGAGAACTCTTACTGTCTGGCGTTCTACTCACAGAAAAACAGAACTCAAGAACTCTGCTAAGTTGGAAACAGAAAAATTAAATGATTTAGTTCTAGAAAGAACTTTATATACATTTATATGATAATATTTTAGTCATATTTAAACCTATAAACCCAACAGTTAGCTCTAAGATTCTAAGATCCAGCACTATAAAGATGGAAAAATAACATTAAAAATAAAAAAATATGTAAAGTATTACCTAGTTACAATAATAATATGAAGTATTTTACAAAGTTACGTTTCCAAACTCTATCTTACCAGTAACTCTTTTCTACTAATATTTATATATTTATTGAGAGACATATTAAATACATTTAGATTTAGGTTGTTCTTTTGATTAAAAGTACATAGATGAGACAAACCATGATAATATATGGTACTCTAAGACCAATCTCACTCACAAGAGAGAGACAGATCCCTCCTCACACTTAACGGCAAGCTCATGGACCTCTCCATATGATAGTGTAGTCATGGTCTGCTAATCTAATCCAACTTTGAAACAGGCACACCTGTAGAAATTATGTCGAACCCTCTCTAAGGTGATGATTTATTAAGATAGTTGTTGAACCACCACCTACAAAATAATTCAAATAGTAAGCAAGTAAGTCTGATTTTATAATTAGGTTAAATTTATAATTAACTAATTTTATAAGTAAAAGGTCACATACATACATATATTGGCATAATAGTTCTTACCTGGTGCTGGTAAAAACAAACTCAGAAGGGCTGTTCTCGTAATACCGGTATGTCCAACATTAATTATATCATCCTCTTTAAAATGACTAGCGCATACACGAAAATTGTTATAAATAGTTTCTGTTGCAGCATTCTCTAATTAGGGCTTTTAACAGCATTCACCCATTTATCAAACATATCCATATTATAATCTCCTGGACTTGAAAAACGGTATTGCTTGCCAGCGGTAGTGTGCTTGCCTAGTATCCATGCAATCTGGAATACATCTTTTTTGTTCAGTTCTTCGTCACTATATTGTTATTCCATGTAATGTGTTCGATTCCATAATAAAAAATCGTCTAAAATTTTACCTTTTTGCACTACTTATATAAAAAAATTTAAACTATAAAATAAATTATAAAAAATAAAACAAATAAAAATATGGCGCCGTATTTGTCTAAATTCAACTTTTGATTTGACCACAGCACAGCACACTCCCTACGCGTAGAAACGAGACTAGCAGCGCCACCAAACGAATGGGCGCCTAAATCCGAACGTGATTTGACATTGCCTATCCCTGTTACCAATCTATAAATTTTATCTATGCCCTTAACTCATAATAGTATGAATCAACTTGAAGAAATTAGGTTCTAGTTCCGCCTGGACACTTACGCAGGCCACGTTACGAAACTTTCGAGATATAGATCTACAGGAGGATATTGAACCATTCGACCATGTTACCAAAGTCGAAGTCCTATAGCACGTGAGAAAACTTTATAAACTCTTTATGGTTCTTTTTTTTGTAATAAGGTGAGCCCGTAAATAAATAAAGAATAAAAACTTGATTGCTGTTTGATAAATATTATTAACATCCTCGTTCCTCTTTAAAAGAGAAAAAGAAGAAAAAACTATTCTTAACGAATGTTTATTCTGATTTATTATTTTCTATTTTGGATATTAACATGCGCCTCCTGTTGGATGTTTGCTACACTCACGTAGAAGACAACAATCAAGATGTCTGCATTACTAATTTTTTCTTTTCATACATTTTTTATAGTATTTCGTAAACTGTGGTGTAGGTGGCTCTACGAGTTCTCCCTTTTCTCGGCTTTGCATCCTGCTGCATCTTCACAACTCGCAAATCCAATGAACTTTAATTAAAAATCTGCAGTGGGTGTTTATATCTCATAAATGTTAATAATGAGGATGTGAACTAATTATCCCTACAAAAATGTAAGCAAATTAAATACATACTAGTTAAACCATCTCTATAACAACTTATTTTCAGGTCGGTTACTTAGAACCATTTTTTACTGAATCTGTTAAGGAAATTAAGAGATATGGACTTAGCTGAGACAATGAAGAACGTCCTCGCCAAGGGGATGCAACAGACGTCGGTTAATGACCTACCGACTTCTGCAAACATGGGCTTTCCTGGTACAGGTTATGTCACAGAAAAATTGTATATGTTACTACAACTGTATTTGCAAAACAAGGGCTGGAACCCTTCGGTGGAATTGCTCCAATGTTTTACAGAACTTAAAGAGACTTCTATGCTTCCCAGTGCTGCTTATTTACAGTAAGATAATATTGCTATAAAACTTACAATTTTAGGAAGGAATTTGTTGTAATGTGATTCATTGTGTGCCATATTTGTATTAAAAGTTTCGCAATCATAATGGATATTTTGAGTCTTGCTATAGCTCATTTAAAACATATATTTGATATGTTTGAACCAATTCCATGAGTTTCAAACAGCTACTGCATTTTTCACAGATTTGACTCCAGTTGGGACTGGAATCAGTGAACCGAGTATACTTAGTATTTAGACATAATATATTCCATATACTTTTTCAGATATTTCTTATTTTAAAACTATAATAGAAAATGTATGCATACAATATTTATCAATGAGCTGCTTAAGCTGGTTTTTTCTTGATGCTTATAGTTTCATATTTATTCTCAATTTTCTTTTTTTTTGTTTATTTATAATAATTTTTGTATGTTGTACGATTTAAAGTTTTTTTAGAGCATTTAAGTTGATAATTACAGTACTTTGTCAAAATATTTATGAATTATTTGGTAATTATCTTCATTATATCTTTTACCATTAACATTTTTTTATTTTACACACATAAATTAAATAACAAAATGGCTTAATATTATATAAAAGATTGTTTTGTCATCATGTATTTCCTTTTTTCAGAATGATGGCATCTAGAGTAACTCTAGACTCTCAGGGTCGATTAATTCTTAGAGAAAATGGTAAGATCATATTGCCTTTTGAACATTTTGCCAATGCTGTGATGCTGAAACATATGAATGGACCACATGGATTACATCTAGGGGTTGAAGCAACTGTGAGGGCTGTAAGTATAAACAAAAATGTATGTTAATCTTTTATTGAGACAAAATGTTCATTGATTCAGGTATTTAAACATTAAAAACAGAGATATAGAAAAACATGAAAATCATCTTTTCATTATCCTTTATGGTAATTTCCAGGAAGAATGTCATCTAAAGAATATCAATCTACCATTTGAGAGAACAATTTTAATGTAGCTTTCCCATTCTTTAGCTTTTCTTTAGTTGTTACTAATAATTGCCACTAGAGGTGTGCTTGTTAGTTCTTTTAGATGAACTAGTTCAACAGAACTATTTCACAAAAATGAACTAGTTCAGTGAACTAGTTCATGAAAGAACTATTTGCCAACAATAACAGAACTGGTTGCCAGATGTCTCGTCTCAATCATCACACAAGCTAGGCCCCAGCCGCCCGTTTTCTTTCAGTCTTTCACTAGTTCACTACCGTACAAGTAGTTCGGAACTATTTCTTTCGATCGTATGTTTAGGTTTATTTAAATTATTATTATATGATTATTTAGTTTTTATTTGCAAAAAATTATTAAGATTTGTTTTTTATTGACCGTTTTAAATATAAATATGGTTCTAGTATGATTTATTTTTATATTTACATATATTTAAACTCATAGGTATTTATAAGTAGGTTATTTCTAAAAGACCCTTTACAAAAAAAAAATCAGTGAATTTTCTAGGAACATTAAATAACACATTTTCATTCTCACTTTTACATAAAATTATATTTTATGTAAATGCCTCAATCATTTTACACAACTAAAAATTTTATTTCAAAATTACAATACAAGAAACAACACAGCATGGCAACATCCAAGCCAATACATGGGCATAAGATCCGAACCATTATGACATTAAGATAAGACTTAATGTTATTGTCACATTCATAAGAATTATGAATCTGTTATCTGAGGCTAATCGGCATTTTTTTTAAACTAGTTAGTCCATCCATTCACAAAATAATAAATATATGTTCTAATTTATTCATTCATTATTTTCTTCTTTAGAAGTTGAGACATAATTTATAATGCAAATCGTTCGCAGTGAACTAGTTCTATGAAAATTAATGAACTAGTTCAATTAGTTCAGTTGAAAGAATCGTTCATTAGAACTATTTCGATGGTGAACTACACATACTTAATTGCCACTATTATCTGTTAAAATGCTACTGCCTCTGCTTGTGGTTAAACCATCCATATGTTTGTTGTGCTGATTAACTGAATCATGCTTCGCATCTTCACATTTTGATGCTTTAAATATTTCTTTGTAAAAATTTATAAATTTACACAACTTGTGTCCTGTTTTTGATTTTAAGTCCCAAATAACACCTTCCCTATTATTCTCTAGTGAAAATTAGTGAAATGGTCTGTACCATTTCTTTATTTTTATCTATTGACAGGTGACAGTATTCACAAATATATCAAAAAAAATCTGCAAAAGCACAAAAGTTACAATATATTTTCATTCATTATACAATATTTTCTATATAATTTGTTTTATTGTGTGCAGGTTATGGATTCATATACAATAGGCAGAGAAAATTTCGGAATGGAAAAGGAATTCATTGTAGAAGTGGTGCAGAATTGTCCTAATCCAGCATGCAGATATTACAAAAATCAAATGGAACTCACACAAAAGACATTACAACACTTGAATGCTGGTTATTTGGGTGAATCTCAACCTGGGGGTAATGATTTACGAAGCAGTAAGTGTTCTTAGCTAAAATATTATACAGCCATTTCACAAAAATGTCATTACAGAGGATATTTTCCATTTTTCTTAAATGTTTGCATAAATATGTACTTTTCACCTCAATAATATATCTTTTTTTTCTGTCCTAAATGCATATTTTTTCCTTTTATTTGCCTGTAAAGGACTGGGAGCGGTAGATTTAGCAAGTCAGAGTAGTATGGAAGTAAAGCCAAGCCCACCCATCATGGAACGCCCAAAATCGGTAGCCCCTACTCAACAGCAAATCACAGCAGCTCTGATCCAGCAACAGAATCGTGTCATAGCACAACAAAACATTGAAAAACTGAATGCCAACTTGGAAAAGCAACGACAACAGATGCAATTGCAACAACAGCTTGACCTGGCCAAAGGACAACAACAGAAGCAGCAGCACAGCAACAACAACAACAACAGCAGCAGCAGCAGCAACAACAACAACAGCAGGTTCAACAGCAACAACAACAGGTTCAACAACAGCAGCAGCAACATTTTGAATTGCCGTTAATGGAGCATAAGATTACAGACTTTTTAAGAGCCAATTTGGAAAATTTGGATGGTATGTAATCCATAAACTAATTACCATAATATTATAAGTTTGCATACTTAAGTTGTATTTGAAGTTTTTTTGCTTTTTGACACTAATTTTTTTGTTACAAACACTCAAAGGTACAAAAGTAGCACCAATAGGTTGGATATTCGGTTGATTTGGCAACATGTTCTTTGTCAAAAGTAAATATGTGTCAAAAGGAATAAAATTTTAAACTCTTGTAGCTGTGGTAAAGCAAAATAGGTCTATACCATAAAATCATCAAGAAAAAACTTGTTAAGTACTTTTATAAAATTGTACAGCCTTAGTTCTGTTATTTTATGGTCCCATATCATATTTTAGGACTATCTTCTGCCAATAAAGATTTATTGGCACTCCACAATGGTGCTTGGACACCCACAGCTCCCAACACGCCCTCTTCTTCATCGTCCACTTCCGTGGATAAAAATTTATCAGAGGGAGGTCAAGAAAAGATCGTAAGAGCTTTCAGTGAGGTGATGAAGAACATGGCTAGAATGAAGACTTACGTTCGTCCGGCGATGTGTAAACCTTATGGCAAACAATCGGAGGCTTTGCAAAAAAGTAAGTAACATGTGCTAACTATTTTACTATTTTCAGTGCAAATTTGCTATTATTATCATATTTCATTTGCCTTCAGAAATCCCACAAATACGTAAAGTTATCCCTCTGGTTGTAGAAACCTGTAGGGATATTTATTTCAGATAAAATAATGATCTGCAAAATAAGAACTCTGAACTGAAGTAGACTAAACTATATCATGATGACATTCCGAGAGTGAATTCTTGAGAGCCCCATTTGTGTGGCTTTCGGATAATGATTCAAGAAGCTTTGATCTTATCTGAACAATACCAATGTACCAATTCTAATAAAATCCTACCAAGTGTGATATTTATAAGCATTTCTAATATTACAGCACTCATGGACACCATCCAGTTGATCCAATCTTTGAGAAGTTTCCTTCCTCCACCACACATCCAAGTAAGCTCTTGGAAAAATGAAGATAAACATCGTTATGAAGAATCTTAGGTTTGTAGAAGAAGGTTTTGTACTTTTGAGTAAGTATGAATGATAAACCAGTTGATATGACCAATATTATTTGACAAAAACAAATATTCTATGTGCCTACAGGGATTATATCTCTTTTACAGAGCCTTCTTAAGTTATATAGATGTTCTTATAGAGTGTCCTAATAATTAATGATGCATTTGAATATGATTTCATACAACCTGTGGGCAGATGGCATATGTGTTTTGATAATACTTGTTTTTAAGAGTGGCCTGAAAGTTATTGTGTAGATTGTTTTCTGAAGATACAAAAAAACCTAGAAAAATATTTTCTGAGGCTTTAGCCTTTCATTTTTGAGTTAAAATTTACCTGAATCTGAGGAAATTTAGTCTTCTCAGTATATTTTCTGTATATTTTACTAATACATGGATTATTTACTATTCAAGTGATTGTACCTTCGTTTTGTACCAGATATGGGGGAAAATAGTCAAATTGTTCCGAAAGGATTTTAGCTATATTTAAAATTTACATTATATTTTCAGTCCACTCCTATTTTTTTGTTATTTGTTAATCGTAGATAATTAATCACACTATATCTCAGTGATTTAAGTAACCTTTTTACCATTAGCATCATATAATCATCACTCTTATTGATAAGCAGCTCGATTATAGTCAGTTTTGACATCCTTTAAAAGGATATAAATAGTATTTTTATGTTCCTTCTAGTTTTAGTGACCTTTTTGTTGTAATTTAGTGAAAATTTATAGTGACAATCGATATTTTTTTTTGAGTTATTTACCAAATTTTGTTCATTTTAGACCTATTGGTTTAAATATTGCCTTTGGAAATTGTAGAAAAATCTAAACTAAACAGCAACTAATCATTTTATTATTTTTCAAATTAGAGGTGAGTAAATACTGGTTAAAAATTAACGGTTAAAAAATAACTATACCTGCGTGGAATCGGTTACGAATGCGAATCAACATGCAATTTAGTTTTAAACTCTAGTGAATATTTAGCACTGAACAGGATACCAAGTATGTTGTTTGTTCGACAAAAAGTGCCAAACAAACATACAACAACGGAAAAGAATGCAAAGCGTGTTTCATTCCAATTCAGTCTTGATTAAAAAATATGAAGGAACCGATTCATAAACAATTTTGAACATCTCTAATCGCAAACACAAAATATTTGCGCTTTTTGCAATCAATCCAAAGGCAACACTTGAATCTTGACATTTTATTTAATTTTTATTGTTAGTACACACATCTCAAATCTTCCATTTTATTGGATAGGATGTAAATATATCATAAAAGCTCTCTCTGAATGTAATAAATGAAAGGAAAAAGTTTTTAATCTGATCTATTTGAAAAGTTTTGTTAAATGTACAAATCTATGACGACAAGATGCAAATATAGGAGGAAATAGAGAAAGATTGTAGAGGAAATAAAGTTCCATGACCAATTAGTGAACTAGGATCGGTCAATATGAAATGATACTCGTGACAAATTAATCAGAAAATCCTAAAAGAATAACAACTGCTTTATTATGAATGAAAAGTATTTGTTTAATGCAATTTTGGGCGATAACGATGATGGACAAACACCACATTTGTTAACAATTACATCCTTGCAAAAATATGGTATTCTAACCATAATAATTGATGATATAATTTAAATTCTCCGATTTTTTTTTTACAAAATTATCTGAAAACAATTTCTTTTCATTGTCATTTTTTTGTAGCCCCACGTTGGGTGCCAAAAGATCGATCAAAAACTTTTTGAGCAGGTGCAAGTTGTGTTTTTTGTGATAACTTTGTACTTAATCTCCTTAGGATGATTTGTAAGAAATTAATACTGAGATTAGGAAAAACTGTTTATTTTTCTTCTTTTTAAGTAGTACCAGAGCACAAGTTACTGCAAATCTTCAAATGTTTATGTATACTATCTTTTAGTTGTGTAAGCAAGGGTGTTATTCGACCATGATCAAAGATTTAAATACGATTCCATTCGTTTAGATCCATCTCATCAGTTCTTATGTACAACAGACACCAAACATGGCCGAATTAGGAGTATGAGCTTCTATCAAAATAATAATCCATTAAGAAATTGGATTAGTAGGCATCTCTGAACCTACAGTTCCTACAGGAGGTTTAAAAACCCCGCCATTTACATTACATCACGGTAACTTACTTAGTCAACGTACCGAAAGGCAAGAACCAACTGTTAATAGGAGTAATCGATATATCTGGAGATCTAACCGTTGACAACCACTATGTCTCTTCTGTTAGCTCAATACGAGTTTCTGTTGACACATTATTCAGCGAATAGTGCAGAGTTCCAGATGGCTTATAGGAACTGACTTCCCTCTATGTTTATACTCTCGGGATAGCTTCGGATTTCGGTTGTTTCACGATTTCCTGAGAAGTCCTGATGCCCAATAAATTGTGTGTAAGTGAAAATTTTTAGAAAAATGTACTGCAAAAGTGTAATAGTGAAAAAAGTATTTTTTTATCAATGCAATCTTCTTTTACTTAAATATGGGTCGTTAAAACTAGTTTTGCACCAAATATGACAGTAATTGCAATAATTCCCACCGTGCCTTTGATTAGCGACAAAGCAGATACAACCGATAAAAAACATTAATATTTGATCATGGTAGAACGACTTGCCAGGTATATTTGTTTAATATTTTTTATATGTTAGGTATATTATAGATAGGAATATTGTAGTAATAATTATTGTTGTGTAGAAGAGGGGCCAGTCTACATCGGCTTTTTCTAAATCTAGTCAAACGAAATTAAAAATTGATAGCCCAAAATTTGCGCTGTGATTTTAGAATCCAGTCAACCCTTACATGTTTTTATATTTATTTTTTGATTGGATGCATTGACGTTTTTTATATTAATTAAATTGACCGTAGATCTGAGCCTATTTGTAAGATCTGTGAACGTTTGCCGCCGAATTCAATTTATGAGTGACTTGACACAAGTCATGCACTAGTAACGTCATAACCGCCAAGTTATAGCGACGAGGCTAAAAGTAACACGAAAACAGAACATATTATCAGTCTTTTGTGACAAAATATATACTACGAATGAAATAACGAGGTAATATGTGCGTTTAAGACACAGAAATGGAATATAGTGTATAAAAAATATTACAGTCAGTAGATTCAGCATTCTAAAATAAAGAAATATGTTTATGTGAAGCTGATAAAAAAGGCTTTTGTGTTGAGGAGAAAGGAAAAACCATTGTAACTCTCCAATGCCATTGTAAAAAGTTCTACATAGAACACAAAGTTGTAATATGAAAATTAAAAGTATTAAAGGTATTGGGGAATTGCCTGATAGTTTTCTTTATTTTGTTGTTTATAATAACAAAAAATAGCTGGCATTTTAAGTTAAACGATACCAAAAAAACACACATTTGCCCTCAAAAGGTATGACCTTTTCTTCTCTTGATGTGGGCATAACTGAAGCGTCGGTTGTTGGGGATCTACAAAAGAATCCATGTATTACAGGGGGATAAAGATAGTCTGAGACGGTTAAGTTTCCACAGATTAGGAGATTATATATTTCTATATTCTTCGTAGGTACTTAACACTAACTTGTGTTATGTATGATTTTAAGAAATAAAAATGAAATGTAATGGAAAAGTATTGCAATAACTAGATGAAAAATACCAAAATAAAGAAACATGTTGAATATTTTTATTAAAGAAGGTAATGCGAAATTACTGTATGTGTACTTTGAGAAATATTGTAGACAATAGTTGAATCCCCTAGTGCATGAAAAGGTTAAAAGTACAATTAAGCAGTGCAGTAGCAAGATAGATATATTTGTCTTCATTTTTAACAAAGAACATCATATATTTACAAGGAGCAACATGAAAAAGGTGGCAAATTATTGTTCACAGATATATTTTATATTTATGTGTAAAGACTGTTAACAGATCTGGTGGATAATGAGTATAAATGTTTAAGAAATTTATAGGTTAACAATATATATTGGTATTTTCCTCATAAGATTGTTCCATGTCATGCCATTCGACATTGTAGTTTTCGCACAAGGTTGCTGTACTATCGAGAAAGTAGGGAATTATGAGATGATGAAAATATAAGGTTATTATTATTAGTTCATAGATTTACCTTGTGCATAATGAAAAATTACCACGACACGAAATAAGAAATTATAGTGAAGGATTTGTATTGAATTTAAATATAAAACAAATTGCTACTTAAGGATCTTAGACATTTTAAATTAATTTAAATATCTTAGATTGTTCCATATTAATTTTTAAAGGAAAATTATCACCATAAAGAGTTCGACGGGTCTTCGAAAATGTTTTTGAATCTCTAGATGATCAAATAATTTTAAAATTTTGGTATACAAGATTAAATTAGCATTAGCAAGCCTGTTTGTTGATAAAACTACAAAAAATGCTTATTCACAATATTTTTAGTTCATTTATGTTACACAAAGCTTTTTCACATTCCAAACTGTCATTTGCACTTTATAAATTAGAGTTCATACTGTTTTTTTCAATGATATTTTAATATAAATTATTGTTTTTGGGTACCAAAATTCAAATAATTGTGAATATGAAGTACTCCAGTACATTTCATATCGTTGTTATGTGGTAAAATTTGTTCATATATGAACACTCACAAATATTTGTGTCATTTCATACTATTAGCTTACTAGTAATGATGACATGCAACAGATTTAAGAGGAAAAATGTGTATCTTGCCATTATGTTTAAGTATTATTTTGCTTAAAGCTATTTACTCTTGTGCAGTACAGTATTTTTGCCTATGTGATTTTATGTATATTATTTTTCTGTTTTGTTTATATTTAAGTAAGCTTTTTGTGCAATTTCGTCAATAAATATACATACAGTGAATGAGTTTTATTTGTTTTAAAGGTTCAAGCAATGAAAACTTCCGTTTTGATATATAGAAATACTGTAGAAAGATATGAAATGAAATGGGTGCTCTCTAGCTATGAAAATCAAGCAATTATGGCTTCTTAAAAGGATCTGGCTAGTGTTTTTTGGAATGTTTTTCATCGCCTATCACTAGAAGTGTTCAAAAAATTAGTTTGGTATATTGTCCATGTGTCTTTGGTGAGCTTGGTAGAAATGGAGAAAAAAGATATGTTAACAGGTCACAAGTAGTAACTACAATGGACAAATTAACAATCTAAAAATGTACACATTCATAAAACAAAACATATATTTTAAAATTTAACAAACATTATTCCCATGATTTAAAAATCATATAGTACATTAACAAACCCATATACAACTTATTCTCTGAATAACATTATAAAGGCATATTCATTGAATTAGTATACATATGCATGAAAGTTATTAGATGTTGCAATGTGCCACATGCCCACAACTGGTACTATCTATACTATAATGGCGACATATTTTTTGAGTATAATTACCTCGCACTAGTTTTTAACATTGCTAGTGAATACTGAATAAATTACTTTAATTTCAAGGGCTCTATATTCATTTCTTTATAAAACTCAGTAAGAGGTTGTTCCCATCTCTTCTCGAAGTAAATATTTAGCAGAAAGTTTGCATTGGTGCCTGTTTTAATAGCCCAAGGTAAGTAATATTTTAAATATTGCTGCCTGTGTTTTGGTAACAGCCTAACAGGGCCAAAAATGGCACCTCCAATACACATGGGAAATCTAGTCTGAATAGCTTCAACCCATTTCACTGTTACTTCCCCTAGCATGTTGGTACGCATCTGCAGAACTGTGTGTATTAGATCATGAACTTCCCTGTATCTTTGAAGTACATAGGCTAATTCTATGTCATCTACAAACTGTACAGGCATTCTAGAATCCGGTGTCACTTGGTTTTTAATCAAAAAGTTACTGTAGGTTTTTCCTAATGTCCCATCTGGTAGTTGTTCCAAATACTTCAAATCCACAGTTCTTGTATTAATTCTAGGTTGCTCCTGTAATATTTTACAACCTTCCTTATTCTCCTGCATTTTTGATAACACATATCTTGCTGCTCCTTCGCCAGTTGTTTCGCCTAGGCATGCTATCATATCACCTCTATGCGGATTTAACAGAGAAATTGCGGCAGATCCTACAGATAGCAGTGTCCTTTGCATAAAATTGGTTTCAATATGATTCTTATCAAAATCATCTTGAAAAGTATTAACTTTTACACAGAAGCTTCTAAAATTGTTTAAACGTAAGGTCGAGTATTTCTTGTTTATTATTAAATGTTTTTTCATTTTGAACAAGATAGTTTAGATATAATAAAAACAGTTCATATTTTTCTAACCTAAAAAACTGTAAACTCGAATAGATTTAAAGTAATTAGTAATTACTGTGGTCACATCATCTAAGAGGTGGAGGCCATAAAACGAAAGAAGAAGAAGTGGTCACAGCACACTCTTACCTAGCAGTGTCAGTCCTGTATTAAACAGTAAAACCACAATTGGCGCATCGCCTAGTGACAGGGTGCGTAAGTATACATACAGAAGCGAGAAGTGCGCAGATTCACTTATTTCACAACGGATGTCATATACGAAATAGTTTAGATATAATAAAAACAGTTCATATTTTTCTAACCTAAAAAACTGTGAACTCGAGTAGATTTAAAGTAATTACTGTGGTCACAGCATCTAAGAGGTGGAGGCCATAAAACGAAAGAAGAAGAAGTGGTCACAGCACACTCTTACCTAGCAGTGTCAGTCCTGTATTAAACAGTAAAACCACAATTGGCGCATTGCCTAGTGATAGGGTGCGTAAGTATACATACAGAAGCGAGAAGTGCGCATATTCACTGACTTCAAACGGATGTCTAGGAAAATAAATATGAACCTCCGATTGGTCCTAATTTATGCTAATTTACGCGAGTCATCCGTCACTCTAACCTGAAATTTTTATGTTTCATCTTCATCGTTCAATGTTTTGTTTATTTTCTATTTGAAAATAAACAAAATATTGAAATAGTATTCAGGATTTTAAAAGACTGTACTAAATAGAGCATTGGCTGTTAATCTTACACAAGTAGTGGATTTTATTAACTCGTTATGAACTGTACCTACTTGAAGCAGAAAGAAACATAAAATGTTGTAGCAATGAATGATATTCTAGACAGTAACAAATTGCTTCTATTTGAAAGTAGAAATTACTTTTCTGTAGAGAAGTAATTTGGGTAATTACTTACATTAGTAAGGATAGTCGGATTAGTCTGAAATTTGGACAGTGGATTATGTTTTATTTTTTATTCACTTTTCAATCTATACATTTTTTTACGCTGAGCTATAGTTTTTCTGTAATTCGCATTTAAAAAACTGATATTTTGACATAAATTTCAAGATGCCGCCGCCATTACAGCTGCTGTCAATGATGTGCGTATGCGTAGTGCATACTTATTGATCCAATGTTGCCACACTTTTCAAATATATTGTTTATTGTGAAAATATTAATTCTCAAATACAATCATAAAGGAATAAAGATATTGAGTATTATTTCCATTTTCTGTTTCTAAGGGATACATATAACTGTAATTTCATTTGTTATTAACTTATGTTATTACGTATAGATTATAGCTTATTTCGTTTTATGTTGTATTTAGTTGGATGCATTAGTTATCAACTTCTTTATTAGTTTAAATTGTTAGATGATATGAGTAGATTAGGTTTTAATTTGTTTACTAAAAGTACGAATAAAATAGTGCATATTATATTATGTCTATACAGCACTGGTTCCGTTTAAAACATGGCTGATTCCGTCTGCGCAAACGAGATTCGCGTACTTATTTTTTCAAACAGAGTTGGCATTCTGATTGTTTATTATTCTGTGAAGTTTTAGATGTGATTGGAGTAGTTTGGATTAGGTTTTATTTTGTTATTTAATACTCAATATCGAGTTTTACAAAAACACTAATTCTGAAATACGCAAAAAACAATATTAAATCATATGTGGTACACTTTTAAAAACAATATTAACTCATATATAGTATACTGTTATAAAAACTTAAATTCAATATATTTACTCTGCAAAAAAAAACAATATTAAGTCATATATGGAGTAAACTTTTATTAAAATTTAAATTCAATATATTTACTCCGAAAAAAACAAATGTGCATGTGGCAACATTGAACCTGAGTGGAATATTTTATATTGTGCGCAAACGCGCTTGACTTGTTTTTCCAAATAAATGAATTTTTGACATTTTATAATATTTTATATTTTTGGATAATTTAACAGAGGAAATGATTGGTATTCACAATTGATTTATAAATTTTATATAACTATTACGGCTGTTTCATATTTCGATAAAATTTTTCTCTTTCTAATTTTTGATTTTGTATACTTTTTATGAACTTTTTCAATTTTTTTTACATTTATTCACTTTTTGTATGTTTCCGTAGACGTAAACATGAAAATTTTGCCTTTTTTCTATTTTTCAGGCTAAGTCCCCGAAAAATTCGCATTTTTAGGGACCCTTACTAATGTAAACAATTACCGTAATTTGATATACCAGACGTATAAAAAGTTAAAAGTTCACAAGAAGAACAATAAGTAGACATTAGAGGAGTATGTACCTGTACCCCAGGCACTTCAAGAAAAATATGTAGGTAAACATTCATCTGTCGCAATATCACACTTGAAAATGATATAAAACCTAAAAACTGCATACAATTTGGTGTATAATTACCAAGAGGGATACGCTCTATATAGCTAATGGTATTTGGCCACCACCAGAATAGTTTTACTCATGGTAACAATGAGTTTTATTCTTTTGTAAAGACTTTAGACAGCAATATGTAAACACTTCCAGAAATATGTGACACAAAAATATAATGTACCACTTGCGGAAGACCATGGAAGCGATGAATGCTATTAAGAGCCCTAAATTAGAGAATGCTGCAACAGAAGCTATAACAATTTGTTTTTACCACGACCAGGTAAGAAGACCAGGCTTGTATTTAAATAAAACTTGACATTAGAATGACAAAACAATTATTTAAATACTGACAAGTTTTTGTTACAACATAAAGAATACTAAATTATACTACACTTAGAAGTATTATTAATATGTCTTGTATCATTTATATAAATAAAGATTTTATTCTTTATTTTTTTTTAACCACTTTGGTATTTTAATTTAATGGAAAATAATATACCCTCAACATAGCAAGAAACCCTAAAAATAGTATACAAAAAATGTTTACATATTTTTTGAATTTACCATCATGTTGTACCATGATCATCATTATATAGTTACGCACCCTGACACTAGGCAATGCGCCAACCATCATTTTACTCTTTAACATACAACTGACACTGCTAGGTGGGAGTGTGCTGTAATAGGAACAGGAGTAACAGTGCCACCACACGGAAGGGTGCCAAATAAAAACGTTCGTTCTTCTTGTCTATCCTTGTTCACAATCTGGTTTAGCTTTTTGTCTTGCCCTTACCGTCTGTTTAAAGCTTAGACGGGTTTCCACTAGTGTCTAGAGCCTGACCCACTATTATGTGCAGACTTGCGCAGTTCATTTGTATTCATTTCTGAATGTGTCAATGAGATTTATAATATCTATTTCTATTTATTAAATAATGAATAGTTCCTAAAAAAGCTCTGTTTTTTTTTAATATTCTTTGTTGCACATATGTTTCCAATAAACATGTGTTATACAGAGTGTGATGTCATGTAAATACTGATGCCAACTTTATTATTTTAGACGGAACACCAGGTATATTATTTAGTTATTGGATCCAATACAAAATACAAAGAACTTAATCAATATACTGGATTGCCATGCTTTTATTTAACTGTTTTTATTATACAATGTATTAAAGGCACAATCCCTTCTGTATTAACTTTTAAATATATAGCCTTTAAGATACCTACTTATGAACATTCCATTTCACACCTGGTAAAAATATAGGCAGGTTTCAGTTATTTGACATAATATCTATTTTAAAAGAATATAGGTACATACTATATAGTATATATGTACCTATATGAGTACTATATACATTATTAAAAACAAGTTGAGATACGAAAATGAACTCACTCTTCTTTATTGAAATTAGGTATAGAACCTTTTAAAGTCATAAGGAGACACGCAGAGAGTGATCTATTCATTAACCACCCTGTATCCTAAAATAAGTTAATTAAAACTATAACATGCAATCTATCACAGTTCTGGGAATTTTGTGCATAATCCAAAAAATTTATAATATACCTAACCAATGTTTCATTTAAAATAAGAAAGTTGGTATCATAGTAATTGATATATAACATCAGTCAACATCCTGTATATAAAATAACAAATTTTTATTGGAAAAATGCGCAAAAAGTATTTTTTAAAATACTTTTTAAAACTATTTTAAAAAACCTTTAATTTTGATTTGCTATTATTTACTATTCATTTTAGAGTTATTCTTATGCAACCAACAATACACATAAACCTCATTGTCACCACAGTACATGTATGTATTCTGATTGTCACATTCAGATGTGATGACCAATGAACTGCGCAAGTCTGCACAGAATAGTGGGTCGGGATTCCTATTCCTTATCCTTGTCTAGTTTAAAATTTATGAAGTGGTGAAACCAAAGACCATTTACACCAAGAGTGGAGTAGATGGTCTTTGGGTGAAACGGTAGACGTCATTGTCATCTGTCAAAAATAACAAACTTGACAAAAGCCGCTTCCTTCTTCTCATGTTGATAATGTTTTTGCATTAATATTAAATATAACAGACAAGTACAGAGTTACTGAGTAAAATCAAATATTTTATGCATTTAAAATGTATCGCACTGATAAGCAATTTATGAAGAATCCAGCTACAGCACCATGCCGCATTTATATTGGAGGTTTAGCAAAAACTGTTATTGCTAATGATCTGGAAGAAAAGTTCAAACCCCACGGGACTATCGCCGGTTTGTCTTTAAACACCGGTTTTGCTTTTATTCAATTCGACTCGGAGAATGAAGCGCAAGCAGCAATTAAAGCAGAAAATGGCACAATGTTGTGTGGCAGAAAAATTATTGTAAAGCAAGCTATGGACAAGTCAAAACCGAATCAAACTCCACAAAGACCTAACCAAGCACCTCCTCAAAGATCGCCGATTCAAAATGTACCCCCAAAACCTACTCCACAAAAGACGCCACCACCACCTCCACAAAATTTGAAGTCAGAGGAACCAGATTTTGATCAAGAATCTGGTGATGACTTTCCTGAGGATGACAGACCAAATATTAAACCACCAGCTATACAAAGGCATAATGATGACAAAGGTTTTAACAGAGGTATATAACAAAATTGTGTTTGTGTCTGTTACTTTTACTGTAGTTTTCAGGTATTGTTATGGTCAAAGTTTTTTTTTAATTCATATCCTCTAACTTGGAGGAATCATCTAGAAGTGTAATTTACTTCGCTGTTTTACATAATATATTAGGGATATTTTTATTAAGTTTTATTATTAAAATAATGGTGATCAGATATAAAAAATCTTACACTAGATTCAATTAATCTATTCTAGGAGGCAGGCGAGATGGAGGAAGTGGAGATAGATCCAGAGATCGAGACTACAACAGATTTGGTGGCAGATTTGAGCCGCCACCTAAAATAGAGCCATATAGAGATAACAGAGACAGAGAGGCGTATATGAGGGATATGGACTTTCAGCCACCTTCAAGAAATGACCCCTATATGCATGGACCTATGTTTGAACCTCCACCAGCTCCAGTAGAGAAGAACGATTGTGAAATCATTGTAGTGGCAAAACAGCTTACGTAAGTATAATAACATTTATATAATATTCTACTTTCACTATTTGATTGTTTTATAGAAATCAGCAGAGTATTAGGTAAGTAAGGAATGTTTTGTATGTATGTAGAGCTGGTAATATCTTCTCTAAATAGAACTGTTGGATACAACAAGCCGCATTTTATAAAGAAGTTATTTTTGATTTTGTATGAATTGTCCCATTCTTTAATGTCAATTTAATCCATTGTGCATGCACTCTTCTCTATGTCTTCATTAATTAATTTGTAACTTTTGTAACATGGTGTTTATGGCGAATTTGTATTATCATTAGCAATAATCAATTTTGGTAAGCCAAATTTATTTTTGTCTGTGAGTGTATGATGAAAGTTTCAAGTACCACAGAAATTGTCATATTCCTAAAAATACCATCATGAAACATTGTCAAATTAAAATTAATTAGATAATCGATGCTCTAAACATGTCATAACCTACACAAATATTACAACAGAACAGAATCGTTTGACAATGATAAACTTAAAAAAAAAATTCATTACTACATGAGTGTTTATGAAACATGGGTTCTTTCTACTAGAGTCAGTGCTAGATATGAAGGAAACAACAAAGTCATAATAAAATGAATATGTATTCCACTAAAATGACCCAGAATAGAGGCAACTGTTTTTTTGGGATGTGATATATACCAACAATGTTTACCCAGATTTTGTTCTGTGGCAATTTGCAATTCCTAAACTTAAAAAAAATGCCATGGAGAATGACTTTTTGCAGGGATTAATAATTATATAGTCAAAACATCAAATTTTGGGGAGTTAGATTAAAATTACTTTCCGAAATTGACAAAAAATTCAAGTTATATGAGTTTTCAATTTATGGAGGATTTCAACTTAGCCAGATTTTGATTTGATATAAATAGGTTCAGAATCATTCTTACTATGATACTACTTGAGTGTATTGTTATTTATTATAAAGCAACATTTTTCAAAACATCCTTAAAATAAAAAAAAAACTGATGTGGCAGTCCAGTGGGACTGCCGGTAAAAGTTATACTTCTATACACGCGTTCAGCCGTTAAAAATTTATATGGGAGTCAATCTGCACAATCATTACATATGTAATGCTATAGGTAAGAGAGAGCAGAAAGAGAAAAAGAATTAGTTATATAGGTATATGTTGCATCGTTTGCTGTATATAAACATTTGACCTGTAATAGGAGTATAATAAATGAAGGATTGCATCAATATTTTAATGAAAATATATATTTTTATTTTCATATATGTATAAAAGGAGTTGAATGCAAAAAAATTTTTTTACACATACTCTGCAGTAAAATTAATTGTTTATTTTGTTATTAATATAAAAATTACAATACAATAAATACACTGCAACATAATTCAATATTATAATACAATATAAATTAAAAAGTAATATTCATAAGTATTTAAAACTGCCAATATCCATATCACTGAAGATAAAAATAAAAAACCAACAACTCGGATTATGTTGTAAATTTTCATTTTATTTTAAAATTCAGAATAGAATATATTTGCACAATTTGTGGCGAATTCAGTAAAAATAGAGAACTCAGTAAAAACAGAGAACTCTGGATCCAATTCAGCATTTGCGTTCAATGGCACACAAAGACTGTACCAGTTTAGAAGGCAAAATTTACATTTGCGATTTCTGCATTAATTATTTTTTAAGTGTGGGTAATAGTGGCAGTGGCCACTTTTACCCCTTGCTAGTGGGTAAAGATGGCCACCAGCAGAAGTCTGAAAAACAGTTTTTTTGTTCTGTTTAAAATTTTTTTGTAAATAAAGTTTGAAGTACTAAGGTTTGAAGTTTTATTTTCGTTAACTGTATAATTTGTAAAGCTATGTAGCAGTATAAATAAACCAAAATGCTTAGGTGACCACTATTCCCCACTTTCCCCTAAGTTTACCTTAAACAGCCATAAGACTATGATTTCATTTATTCGCACAGTACTGTATACAATGAAGACAGATAACGGCAGATGGTCAAAAAGCCTTAGACAATAAAATTCAAAAAGTCAAAAGGATGACCACGGGAAAAATGACAATGAGCAGAGAGAATGCAAAATCTGGTAGGCGGTACCACCAATATTGGTGGCAGAAATCATAGGGGTGGATTTTTAGACTTATGTGCTAACGTTATAGAATTTTTTTCTTTTTATTTTACGATTTTTGTTTTGAACATTAATACACTTTCCTTACAGAGAATATGCCGAATTTATAGAACAGAAACTGAAAACGCAAGGTCTAATCGTTGATCTGCTGTTTCCGAACGAGGATGTACCGATAGGTAAAGTGTTGGCGAACATCTCGAGCAGAGGATGCCTGTACGCTATTCTAATCATGCCTGTGAATGAAGAACGTAGGAGCCTCACTCTTAATATACTTCACGGCGTTCCCCAAGGTATGTAAAAACTTTTTAAGATGTACTGGCCAAATTCGTCTGCAATTGCGACACACATTATTAAAAACAATCAAATTATCTTCCCTAACTCTGCATCTATAATGTTTGACAGGGCCTATAAACCCGAAAAACAATGCATCACTACAACAACAAAACTGTCGGTGAAGTATATTCTGATATATTTATTTATATTTTCAGAACACAGAAATATGCCTATTGAAGATGCCATGATATTGATTTCAAGAGATTTTGAAAGCTACATGAAGGGCGATCGTAATCCTACAGATCCATCTCAAATGACCTTGCTTGATAGACATCCCAACCAAATGCAAGTAAGTGTTTCGGCCAATTTTTAGTATAAAGTGACAATTTTCTTTCAAATAAATTGTTTTTACTAATGATTACATTTACTAAAACTACCAAAAATCTATATTCCTTATTTTCATTCCTGATTTCTTTCAGTTCCATCATCTTGAACATACTCATAACGTCATCCTCATCCTCGGAATATTCTTCCCTTGGTTTTCTTTTGCTTGGGGTTCTGGCAGTTTTTTTGCTCTGCAGGAAAGATGAAGTTGACCCTTTATCTTTTCTCTGCTTGTCTTCTGACGCGTTATCATCACTACCCGTGTGCATCATATACAGTGCGTTAAGTTTTTGATTAGGTATTGCACACTATACGGAGCGCTAAAATCGGCAACGTTGCAAATGTTCGTTCTCCGACCCGAAAATCTACACCGACAGAAAATCATTTATTTTAGTTTAGTAACTCACAACAACGTTAGGGATGTACTTCTCTGTCGTCCGATCTCATGTTTCATTACGTAAAGCCGATTTTAATAGTAGGAAATTCGATAAAAATGCACTGAACTAATCGGTGCATTGTTATCGATTTTTATTAATGTGAAAATTTTTTTGTGGTTGAATTAAAAATAAAAGCGTATTTCTTTAAAAAGATAAAATAAAAAATATACTCTTATTGAAAATTAAAATATTATTCCTAATAAAATAAAAAATAATTCTTTATGACCTACAGAAATGGTTCAAATAGTTGACCTTCTACGGCTGAACAGTACCCCAATCTGTCATAAAAACTTCTGCGAACAGATGAAAGAGTTTCTGCTGTAACAGAATTGGAGACTTCTCTTATTCGATTTTTTAATTCATCCAAATTTTGGGCTCTAGCCTCAGGATGAGCGTAGATAATGCTTTTTAAATGTCCCCAAAAAAAGAAGTCCATGGGTGTAAGATCTGGAGATCGCGCAGGCCACTTAATATCGCCTGTTCCACTGATAACTCGATTCGGGAAAGTATTGTTTAAATACTCCCTAATAATTCGAGCGTTGTGAACTGAACAGCCGTCTTGATGAAACCAAACATTCTCCAGATTTACATCAGGAAGATTGAGAATAGCGGGAAGAACATGATTCTGTAACAAATCGAGGTATACTCTACTATTCAAGTTGCCCTCAATAAAAAATGGACCTATTATGTGGTCTCCTAAAATGCCAGTCCAGACGTTAACTTTTTGAGGACGTTGAGTTCGGTAAACAACACTTCTGTGCTGGTTTTCCCGCGCCCAATACCTCGTAATGGAAGGATTGTGTCTCCCTACTAACGAAACAGAAGATTCATCAGTGAATAAAATGTTTTTAATAAAATTTGGTTCACTATTAGCCTTCGTTATTAGAGTTTCACAAAACTCCATTCTTCGAAAGTAATCGTCTGGATAAAGCTGCTGCGTTTTCGAATATTTAAAATTCTTGTAACCGTGCTTTTTCCATACTTTCGTTACAGTAACATTGCTAACATCTAACTCTCTAGCAACGCTTCTACTTGAACGTGTTGAATCTACCTCGATTGTTGCACAAATTTGTGTATCCCGGTATTCTCTTTCCTCAACTTTTTCTGGTAACACTTCTCGAGCGTGACATTTTCTGCAATTTTTGAGGCAATAACAACTCTCAAAATTTTTAACAATATTATAAATTGACTGTACACAAGGAATTGGTCTTCCCTCAAAAAACACAGAAAATAAATCTACACACTGTTGCGCAGAATTGCCACTATAAAACCATTTTATTATTTGAGCTTTTTCCGCGGCCATTTAAACAGACATGTTTACAAAAATAAATTAAAACTCTACGCTGTTATACCTTTAAACAACCACGGTATAATGACAATATGACAAATTTGCCGACCGGCGACGTGCAACGACGAGTCAACGAAGCAGATATGTAGTGCAAGTCGAAGACGCGCAGTGTTGCCATTTATAGAGTGTATACCTAATCCAAAACTTAACGCACTGTATGTTTCTAAAGACCGCGAAAGGAACTAGATCTGCTTAAACCGCTCAAAAATCCATTTCCTATCAGTCCTCAGTTAGCAGAATTGTTTGTAAATTTGGCAACGTTGCAATACTAGCGGACAGAGTTCCACCAATATGACTGTTTCGAATTGTAAATAGCTTTATTTACTCTTATCACTTCAAACACTAGTTTTTACTGAAAGCGAGTTGTTTTTCCGAAATTTCTCACTCCGGCATTACGAAACCTTTTTAAATGACATATGTAAACAAACCGTACATTATTTTTCGCTACTAATCGCGATATTTGGGATTTTAGTAGGAGAAAAATAAATGTACTTTTATCTGCTTAGTACACCGTTGTCGATTCCACACACCACTTACTTTTCTTTACTTCGTTTTGATTTTCCGTATATTTTTAATTCCAGATTCTCTTAAATCTACTATCGGAAAACCGCCAGATCTACTCACTCCAGTATGATAAACTCATCACGTACCTAAAAGAGCGCAGAGTACTACAGCACGAGTACGAACTCGAAGAGGGTATAACGCCCAACGAAGAAGGGGACAGCAAACAAGCCGAATTGCAGAACCGCATCATGAACATACTAAACAAATCTGAAGCGCCTCCAGCTCCCGAACCACCTTCAAGCGAACCCACTCCTATCTTGAAGGATCCTACCGTGCAGAAGGCATTGGACAGTTTGATGTTGGGAGATATGTTCAAAAATATAGCTGGCTAGATGCATATTTACTTTTAAGATTTAAAGTTTGGATGTAATTTTGTATAGGTAATTTTTTAATTCATCATTTATGTCGGTAAAATAAAAAATACACGTACATACAGAGTTTTATTAGAGTTTCGATATAATTATCTTGTTCAGGACACCGTCCAACCATTTGCCCTTGACATAAGTACTTGTCATCCTGGTGCCTTAGTCGTGGACTAATGCGCACCCTGATACGCATCGCCCCGCCTTAAAACATCTTTCGATTTTTCTATTGGCCGAGAGATCTGAAAATGCCATATAAATATTAAAATACTTACTATATAAATATGCGAAATTTTCTGCTCTCGACTCCCAAATAGGGTCTCTGCACCTGGGGGTCCAATGTCGGAGCGCTGCTCCGGTTCTCCGAATATTTGGACTCTGTGGCTGGGCCTTGCCCATCTTCTAAACTGTGTTTCATTTATTTACCATGTGAGAATGTCGATTGTCCACCAAAGATGGAAGACACGCAGAGGGCACTTCGAATAGACTGGTTGAAGTCCCTCTGTAAGGCACCGAGGGAGGGTATAAGTAGCCATACTTATTCTTAGCCATCCTTACCTCCCATTTGGTGATATACTAGCTAACCTGTCAGTAAAAACGTAGGTTTCTTAAAACGTGGAGTAACTTCCAGACCAAAACAAAAAACGTGGTTTGCATGATTAATTGTGTTAAGTGAATGGATTAAGAAAACGACCCAATAACCCACAGTATTCGGAACGATACAAGAAATTTAAACAAGAATATCAAAAAATTGTTAAAAAACAAAAGGAACAATATGATAACCAATTTAGTAATAGCAATAATGTAATGAAGGAAAGTTGGAAAATAATTAATAAAAATAGAGGTAAAAACTGTCAATCAAATCAAAATTTAATATCTTTTAGTAACAACGGTGACTTATGATCATCAACTAGCCTCTTAGCTAGTCATCATCATGCTGTCCACTTAGTCCTATTTTGCGCCATCTGAATCCAATCTGTAGTCACTCTTTTTATGTCATCTGTCCATCTCGTTGGGGGTCGACCTCTATTTCTGTTAGTTTGTATTCGGGATCTCCATTCCAAAATTCTTTTTGTTCGCCGGTCATCAACTGATCTTGCTACATGACCTACCCAGTTCAACTTTGGTGTTGTTATCCTTTCAATAACGTCTATTACTTCTGATCTTTTGTGTATAGTAGCATTGGGTATTCTATCACGTAGAGAAATCCCTAACATTATTCACACTGATTAAATACTTTTCTTTTCAGACACATTGGAATCTTAGACCTAAAAATATCCTTCATATTTCCAAATGCAGCCCAAGCGAGGTTTATTCTTCTTTTCAGCTCGATTGTTTGGTTGTCTCGACATATTCTGATCTTATTTTTTGTCTTCTACTATAAAATAAGTCTGTAAATAAAGTTGTAAATAATTTAGGAGACATGTTGTCTCCTTGCCGAACGCCTCTTTCAATACGAAAGGTTCCAGTATCTTCATTAAATCTTACACAGGCTGCCGATAAATGTATCTGATGAGTGATATGTATCGGTGATCTATTCTACATTGTGTGAAAGCTTGGAGCATTTCACTTTGATTGACCGTATCAAATGCTTTTTCAAAGTCGACAAAAACGTGTATCAGGGGTCTATTATATTCAATGGTTTTTTCAATTAACGACTTAATGGTTTGCAAATGATCATTTGTTTCGTATCCAGCTCTAAATCCTGCTTGATCGCAAGGTTGATGGAAGTCTAGTTTTGATGTCAACCTATTAGTTATTATCTTCATAAACAACTTATAAACGTGAGATAACAAGCTAATAGGTCTATAGTTCTTTAGCTCTGTTATATTATCGTATACTGATCAAATCAACAATTATTTTATTAATGTTATAAAAAATAATGTTTTTTTTATCATCAACCACGGAAAAAGAAATTATATCTATTGTATTAAAAACTGCTTCTAAACCAGCTGCATGGGTAGACGAAATTGATGGAAAGGATTTGAAACATGTTTCCACCTATATAGCTTTACCACAAAGGCCCCAGTATTGAGCCTTGAGGTACACCCATCGTAAATTGAAGTGGCCTCGACGTTACATTTTCCACTATGACTACTTGAGTTCTATTACTTAGATAAGATAGGGCCCAATTGTACGGTATACCACGTACAATACCCTGCAATTTTTGTACTAAGAGTTCACGATCAACCGTATCAAATGCACGGCTAAGGTCATAAAAAAGACCAAACACATTTAATGCTTTATAAATAAATTGAAGACAGTCAGAAATAGCCATATTTGTAGATTTCTTTTTTCTAAACGCGTTTTGAATAACAGGAAGAATTTTAAAATGTTCTAAATAATCTTTTAATCTATTTGCATAGGCTGCTTCAAATATTTTAGAGAACTGACGACACACAAATCAGCCTATAGTTTGCAATATCCGTTGCAGATCCTTTATGTTTAAAAACAGGGATTCCTTTATATCTGGAAATATTCCGCATGCAGATTCATTCATGAGATAAGATAGATATAAGTGGCAACATGTTTAAAAGCTTTTACATCAATTTCGTCCACCCCTGCAGCTGTTTTAGAAGCAGTTTTTAATACAATAGATATAACTTCCTTTTATTACAAATAAATCTTTTTTTATACTATGATTTCAGTTAGAACTTGAAACACAATACATACTCTGACTTTAAATATCAAGAGAGTAGGTAGCGGCATAATTTTGAATTTGATAAAGAAAGGTCGGCAGCGTTCTAGATAACTAGCCCCTGCTAAAATCCTGACGGCTTCCTTTTGCATTCTAAAAATTTGAAGTGCATTTGTTGAATTGCTCCATAGTTTAGGTGTGAGTGGAATAAAGAAAAATATGTCATTTTTAATGTTTAAAGTTGACAACCCTTGCTAGTTGACGAGTAACAAATAATGAGCCGATTATCGATGGTTATTCCCAATAGTTTAACAGTGTCTCTGTTATCTAGATCATTGTGTAAATTACTTGCAGATATAATCAAATTTTGCGTTTTATCAGAGTTAAGTTTTAGTTTGTTTGCAGCAAATCATGAGCTAGATTTAGTAGAAACTTCTCATGATTATTTTTTCCTGATATAACGTATGTCGCTAACTCAACTCATTGATATAGTAAAAGAAACACTTATAGTACAAAGCAAAATTCGAATTCAAAACGAACTAATAGATACAATCCATATGAAAACGGGTCTACGACAGGGAGATGCCATATAGGAACAATAATAACAAAAAGTGTTCAAATATTGGCATTTGCAGATGATGTTGATATCATAGCTTGAAGCGGAAGAGAGATGATAGAAGCAATTAATGTGAATAAAGAGCGGCAAAGAGTGGCCTAAACATTAACGAAATAAAAAACCAAATACATGAAGGCCAGTAAATCGACAGGCCAAAGAAACCTCCATAACCTGACAATAGGAGACTAGAAAAACTATTTGGTATGTTTATTTTAAAATTTTACTATTAATTTCGTGAACGTCCCTACAATTAGAATTACTAAAAGACTTTATTATTTGAAAGACCTCTTCTTCCAGAATGGGACGAAAAAAACTTACTTGGAAAAGGTTAACTTCTATAATTGAAGAGGACATCGACATTAATAGTGTTAAGAGATGTAATTATATTCTCTGCAATTGTAGTAAAAACAGGGTATAAAAGGAACAATGAAAATTTATTTTGTTAAATTTTGGAAAGAATTTGCAAAATTTTCAAGCTATTATTAGCATTTGAAGGAATATGGTAAACATATTTGAATACAGTTGAGAAGCTCCTACTGACTAATGTACCTGTATATAAATAAATAAAACAAAGGATTTAAAATTTTTAATATTCTATTTACATTTTTTGGGCTTTAAAATTAAAAAGTAATCCGAAAGGGTTAATCATAAAAAATAACCCTTCTTTTTTATTCCTCTAGATCTAGTTCTTGTAATTCTTCATCTAAGTCTTCCAAATCTGACTCGAGGAAAAGGTTTTCATTAATAGCCACCGCAGTTGCACCTTCAGCTGGTTTTTCGTCAGATGTCGTTGGTTGTACATTTTTAAATCTATCTTCTGTTGCCACAGTACCCGTTCCATCAACCTAAAAATTGTTTATACTGTGTTTTAGGAGAAAATCTGTGTATATTGTATTATCATCTAATGTACAATAGTTAAGGCTAAAAACATGATTAATTCATGTTGTATTTGACTAGTTTTTTCCAACCCTTATGAGTCTTTTTGCAAATGTATAAAAAAAGATGTTCATAACATAATAAAGTCTTAATTTTATAGACTATATCATCAATGAGCTATCTAGATGACAAAATAAGTAGTATGACATAGAGAATATACTAACGGAAGAACATTATTAGGATTTAGCAACAAAATATGTGAATTAAATTCATTGATATTTGCTAAGCCTGTACTATATAAAAAGATCTGCAAAATATATTACCTCCTGTACATCATCTCCTATTATACTCAAATCTATTTCCTTATAAACAACAGCATCTTCTTCAGTAGGATAAGCCGAAGAATCAAATAGCTCATCTCCTTCTTCCATGTCATATTCAGTAGCCAGATCTGGATTGAAACTGAACATTTCCCTTCCAGAAATTCCAACTTGTCTGCCAGCCTTGAATTCATTCCTTTTCTTATCTTCATCTTTCTTGAGTTGATCTTTCTTATCCTGTATCTTTCTTTTCTTCCAAGCCAAAAATGTTTCCAGTGTAATTCTTGTTTGACTGGGACCTAGACAGAAAAGAGTGTAAAATTGGTTCCAACAACTACAGAAATTATTAAATGATTAAGTATGTTGTAAACACTTCCAAATGTTTAAACATTTTTAATAATAATAGAAACAGTAGAAAGATATTTAAGATATTAACTGATAAACATACCTAAAGCTGCTCTTTCCTTTTCTATAAGATCTTCTAGAGTGATTTCATTTGCTTTATCTTCTAGTTTCTTTTTATCCTTTTTCAGGACAAATCCAGGTGGCAAGGCATGTCTGTAAATGCAACTTTCCCCTGTAGGGCATTGCCAGAACCAACCATACTTTGACTTTTCTACTGCTTCCAAAAAGTGTTTACAAATCTAAAAAAAATCGCAAATGCAATTATAATACTTATTTAAAAGCAAGAAAATACCAAATATAGTCAAAGCTTACAATATCAGTGGTTGGCATTTTTCCTTTCTCTCCATGTTTCTTTTCTATCACTTCCTTTAATTTAGCTTCATCCCAATTTTCCATAGTATCTTCTTCTTCGTCATCATCTCTCATATCGAAATACAGTGAACGCTTTTCTGCCTTTCTCTCTACAGCTAAATCATGAGAGAATTTACATTTGTCACCTTTGCCGCATTGTCCCTGTTTAAAGAAGGCACATACCACAGACTTAGGGTCAGCACCTTTATCTATTTTTTGCATCTGGACTGGTTTAAATAGAGCAGCAAGTTCTTTCTGTTCTTTGAGCTTTTTCTCCTTCTCTAATTTCTTTTGATCTACTGCTGCTCCTAAGGGATGAATACCACCGGACTTGACTTGTTTTTCCACTTGTTGGATAAATTTTTGCTGTTTTGCCCCTTTCTTATTTTTTAAACCAAAAGTTTTATCCTACAACAAAAAATAAGAGTATATTGTACTTAATGTAAGTCCGTATACACGCAGAAAAGCTCTAAACCTAAAGACAATACTTACTTCTATAATTTTTTCCTTTTTTTTGGCCTCAGTTTTTTTACTGGGAGCACCTGGTTTAGGTTTCGGAGGCATATTTGCAAAGATAAAGTTCTTCTAAAAGTGAACTATGGGATTGATAATAAATATAATAGTTGTTCCAGCTAAAATATAAAGCGGACGAATTATAGAAGCATTAATAAATTTTAAATCTGGATCAGAATGTCATGCAATCCTAAGTTGACAACCAGTTATTTCACCGCATCCACATTTTCTTTCGACCGTTCGTTTGTTATATGTCAAAATTGTCATATGTCAATGTCAGCAAATTTAATTTTAAAAATACGAGATGTCTAAAAATGGTACTACTTATTTATTACCATTACTAAATAATTATGTATTTTGAAGGCACCATCCTACTTTATCAATAATAATTATTTAATCTGAGTAGATCCTTTGTACTACCCCATCAATTCAATACTTCTTACGAAGTTAACCAGAATTTTGAGGAGTTACTTTTATGAGTAATTTATGAACAAATCCTTGTGTAATGTGTGTACAAAGGCAAGAGTACTTGCAGATTAATTACTAATTACTATCGTCCTTATTTGGCATCCAATCCAAACCTAGAAGAACCAAGATAAAAGCTTGCGACATTAATAATTATGAATTATTTCTTTAGAGAAGGATTGAGGAATACTTTAACATATTTGCGGACTTGTACTTATCAACTGTGATCTGAGATATGAGATTATTAAACATACTGTTTGCTGTTTATACATATTTTTGGGTTGAGTTTTTGTATGTGTTCCGTGGAAATATGTATGATGCAGAGATATGTAACTGGTATGATGCAAAAAATGAAGTACCAAATGCGCAAGTTCACTATAAGTCAAATTCCTCATTTTAAATTTATCAGTACAACTTCGTAATAATCTTATTATTCTAATAATAATTATATTAAAGTTTTAAATCTAAATTAATAATGATTTTAGTACACTTTTCAATTTAGTAATTTAAAGAAGGTACCACTTCCAATAACAAACGAATATCCATTAACGATTTTAAATCAAGTTGACGTTGACGTACAAGCATGTCAGTTTCAGTTATGTTATGTCAATCAAATAAGACAACAGGAACATTTTTCCATTTTAAGAAGCTAATAAAATAAATGTTAATTGTTTAGATTGACAATTATCAAGTTGATTAAAACTGGAATATGGATTAAGAGTCACCAACTATCTTTACAATGATTGTACAGGAACCAGTTCAGGTGAGACGCAAAATAATGCTGTAAAAAATGTTATTCTTTTTTTATTTATATACAATTTTTTTTATTTTAGGCTGCCATTTGGCATTGTTTAAATCATCATGATTATACGGACGCAATATTTTTATCGGAACGTTTATATGCTGAAGGTAGGTCACAAAAGAGCTATTAATATAAGGTGTTAAACAGCAAAAGCTGTCTTACTTCAGTTAACTAGTTGTTACCTTCATTTCTATGATTAGATCAATATAATGCAATGTATCTTCATCTATAATTATGCCTTATATCTCAATAATCATAGTCTTCTTCGTCTTCTGCATATATGAAGTTCTATTTTGTATTATTTAACAATCATTTCTACCTTGTTTTAGCTTCTTCTGATGTGTTTATTTTGTTCTTTCTTTTGCGTCTATTACTTTGTATAATAAAGATAAATATCAATTTTTTATCTTTATTATGATCTGTGCTCTAGATAGTCCTCACTAAAGTTTTAAAAGGTTTTTTCCTCTTGTCAATTTTTGATATTTTCTTTTGTTGTAGTTTATTTAATGGCTTGTATTATTGTTGGTAATGACATAATCTTTTTTAAATTAATTTTTAAGTTGTGTAGTTTAAGTACATTATTAGATATCTGTAATAGACAATCACAAAGATTGGATTAAAACACACTGGTAAAGTGTAGATAAACTAGATTGCTTTGGGAATTAATTAGGTTATAGGGAGCTGTTCAACATTTTTAAAATTATTTTATTCGCTTTTCCAAATTTTTCTCTTTTAGTTTGGTATGAGCTTCTTTATTCTGTATATAGGGCCTCAAAAACAGCTTTTGCCAAAATATTTTTCCCAAAACAATGTATAATTGTTGTTTTCTGTATTTATTTGTTTTAACATACATATCTTGAGAAGTTTTGTTTATAATACAACTAATACATCTTTGATTACAGTGAATACTGAAGAAAGTTTATTTTTGTTGGCAACATCATATTATAGGAATGGGCAAAATGATCATGCTTATTATATACTTAAAGACAGAATAGGAAATTCGCCACAGTGTAGATATTTACTGGGGATGTGTGCCTATGAGTTAGAAAAGTAAGTATATCTTAAAGTGTATTATAATGAGGCATCCAAAATAATCTACTGTAGCAACCTGTTTAAATATGTGATTCCATGGTTTATCTTATTTATTGTCGGTAGTTCTGAAACGTGGTGTAATGTAAATAGTACTTAATCTATATTTAAATTTTGAAAAACTTGAAGATTTGAACTATGCAGGATTTGCGAAAAATTGTTGGCAATTTAGATAATAAATGCTCACTACATGAAATGTTAAATTGCAGAATGGCAAAGGAAGTTTTTGAAACCATTGGGCACATTATGTTAAATTTAATTAATACATCTCTTACTACATGTAGAATTCCTGATGTATTAAAAATAAGTACTATCACCCCTATTTAAAAAATACCCAACACTATCAAAGCTGAAGAATTCCTACCAATCAATACTTTATCTGCTGTAGAGAAAATATCAGAAATTGCTGTTTAAATAAAATTTTTATTAATAATTAATCAGGTTTTCGAAAACAATTCTCTTGTGAATCAGTGTTACAAGTTACATTATGTCACATAAAGAGTAATTTAGATAAAAATAAGTACATAGTCAGTGTATTTCTTGATTTAAAAAGAGCTTTTGAAACTATTGACAAGACAATAATGATTTCTAAACTTAAACAGTATGGTATAGGAGGTACAGTAATTGCATGGTTAGAAAATTATTTACAAGATCGCAAAAATGAAGGTTCGATTTAAAGACCAATTGTCATCTGAAATGGATAGTAATATAGGGATTCCTTATATTACTATTAGTGTATTAGGCGCTCTTTTATTTATTCTGTACATTAATGATATCAATATTTTAGTAATTTGTGAATTTATTAATCTTTTTGCCAATGATACTCTAATCTGTTGTAGTGATGAAAATTTTGATTTAGCTATTCAAAAAATTAACACTCTTTTAGATCTATCCACCTATCTATCTAATACAATTATTTTAAATGGCTCTAAATTATCTGATAGAGTTTTTCATGCAACAAAGCCGAAGTATGATTTTTTTCTACTTCAGAATAAAAGTGAACAAATATAAAGACTAATTATTGTTGTGTTATAGATATGCAGAGGCTGAAGCTACTATTCTAGAAAACAGTACATCAGGAAACAATTTAGATGATGAAGATCTAGTCAAAGAATTTGGAGAGCAAGCTGGTTTTGCGTTGCTACTTCTGGGAAAAATTGCAGCTAAAACTGAACGCAAATCTAGAGCAGTCGATGCTTGGAAAAAAGCTCTTAAATTAAACCCATTCCTGTGGTCTAGTTTTGAACTTCTGTGCAAAATGGGAGAAAAAAAGGACCCAGCGGAAGTTTTCCAAATAAACAATATTGAAAATTTATCTATGTGCCAAGGAAACAGCATCAGTAATTTAGATAGTGTTATTATCACCAACAGTATGTCCACTATTGAGAATGATGAAAGCTTTATCAATACTCCCGAACAAGTTTTTAGTTTTAATCCTATGCATATGAACCATGCAAATGTCAAGCTGTTCTCCACACCAGACGAAAGCCCCTCGGTTCACCCTTTAGCTCTATCTGGAATCAGGCCATTGGCACCTTCACTTCAAAAATCTCTCAGGCCTCGATTTAAGGAAGTTGGAAGTGTAAGTACTTATTTATTAGTTATATTTATTTGTTCCAAATGTAGGACTTTCTAATAAAACGGAACAGAAGTTTTAATTAATGGGTTTTTGTGCTTTGATACCACTATGCCATTTTCATGGAAGCTTGAATTGTTCCAGTAATAAGAGAGGTTGACTAATTCATCTTTCATCATGTTGCGTGATTGTTTTTAACATGTGAAGACATTCGACATTCAATTTTCTTCTTGTTGCATAATTTGACACTTTTACTTTAAGAGGAATTTTATCTTTATGAATATTTTTAAGTAGCTCTAAGGAGTACCTACAATTGCCGAACATCAACAACCTGAGTTTCATGAAAAAGTTGGTCAGAGGGATATGTTTTTCGTTTTCCATATATTAGTTTAAGAAACCATTTCTGAGTATGTTGAAGGGTCACCAGATGGCAATCAGCTACTCCACCCCATCCTAAAATCTCATATACAAGATGAGATCGTACTAGTGATAGGTAAAGCATTTTAAGCTGTTCAACATCCAAAAACTCTTTTAAATAGCGGAATTTTGGTAGCAGTCCTCGTATTTTCTTATATTTTTTATTTGTAAGTCCCATTTAAGGTGCCTGTCAATTAAAACTCCTAAAGATTTTATGTACACTGCTTTAAATATTTGTTGTTTTTTATTTATTTTTAATGCATTAAAAGTTGGCAGAGAATTTTTATATACAGCAAAAGGTATATATTTAGTTTTTTCATAATTTTATGTGAGTTTATTTATTTGCAACCATGTTTTTATAATTTTGAAGTATTGTTCTGCTATAATTAAGATCTTAATTAATTAAGATCTTTCCAATTATCGGCCTTATAAAAAATTTCTTGTCATCAACAGAACTAATTATGTTTCCAACAGTTTTTAGCTTGAGCATGTAATTAACATAGAGTGTAAAAAGTAGCGGGCCTAAAACGGTCCCTTGCGGTACGCCATAATTAATTACTTCAAGATCACTTTTGACACCATCAATTTCTACAAATTGTTTTCTGTCAGTTAACTTTTTAGTAATGTCAAAACCCGTTCTCTCAGACCATACTTCTCAAGTTTTTTCAACAAGATCTCGTGAGATATCGTGTCAAACGCCTTAGAGAGATCGACGAATATGCATAAACTACATTTATTAGACTCAAAAGCTTCTAATATTTGTGATGTTAATTTACAAATAACATCTTGTGCTGATTTTCTTTCTTTAAAACCGTATTGGCAATCCGATATTATACTAAACCTATCCAAAAAGCTTACTAATGTTTTTTTTAATTTTTTCAAATATTTTGGAAAAAACAGATAACAAAGAGACTGGTCTGTAGTTAATCACATCTTCTTTCTTTCCTGTTTTAAATAGAGGTTTGATTTTGCCTATTTTCAGACATTCTGGAAAATAACCATCCTGAAAACATGTATTAATGAGAAAAGTTAAAGGAGTAATAATATCTTCCTTAATTTGTTTGATGGTTTCTGTCTTGATACCATCCCTTCTTGCTTTCTTTTCTTTTAATTTTGTCACCCCACTACCTTTTCTTGTCACAGGAGACTGACTATTAGAGTTATTAATATAAGATATCATAAACCATTAAATAATTATCTAATTATTAGAACAAATTAAACTCACTTTACACAATATACAATACAAAACATAACCTTAAAGCTTGCTATACTAACTATTTTTAACTTGCTCTAGACAATCGAATATCCCTATATAACACTAAATTGAAATTATTTTATATTGAATAACTATGTTGAAACTTCTTCTTCTTGGACCAAACAGTTAGTACAGGAGATAATTCAACAAGGGATAACATTTTTCTCGCTTGGGGTTTTTTTTCTCTATTAGGTGCTTTTTAGTTAATAATATATAAAATAACTGATGAGGTCCTCAGAGTTCCACAGCAAACTCTTCTGCAGATGTAATAATAAACACTCTGTCGACATGATACTATGACTCCATAGTATCCACAGATAAAACCACTTCGCAATCGAATTCTGTACGTCGGTGCGCATGACGTCACTTGGTGATAAAAATTTATCTTTAATTTAATATTCTGAAATATATTTTATCAAAAGTGCACACATTTATTTGTCAACGTACTAAATAAACGATAAAACAATACTAAATCTGACAAAACTCTATGCAAAACAAAACATTTCTGGTGATATTTGTCGCCAAGTGACGTCACACGTGCAAAAGAGATAGACTGATCGCGTGTGCGCGTGGGTTTATCTTTAGTTCATAGTATCATGCTCTGTCACAATATGCTTATGGAGAGAAGTTAATATGTCAAGTGACAAGTGAAAAATAAAAAAAAAGAGTAGAAAATAGAAAACAAAAAAAAAAACAATATATAAAACTGGAATATTATCCTTTTAGATGTCAATGACGAAAATAATTTCGTTGAGGTAATAAGGGATAAAATTCCAGGAATGTCATCCTTTTAGATTTCACTTCAGGAAAACTAGCTTAATATGAGCTATTTAATGTGATACAATGTTATCTGTCTTTGTCTAAGTCTGTAGAGCTTGGTAAATGGAACAAAACTGCTATCTTAAATAAATGTGGCAAAAAATGGAATGTTATCCTTTTAGATCTCACCGATTCAATTCATGTATACACCTCTATTTGTTATAGTCTGATACACACTCTATATTCAACATAGCATATCTAGCAAAAACAATTTTTAGTTTCAGACTCCACCCAATCACGAATCTCAACCCGCATTCGGCCAGCTGTTCGAAACCTCCCACGATACCCTCAACACATCCGACATGATTTCACCGACGACGCTCACGGAATCGAACAACCACCACCAGTCGCTGGCGAAACGAGTGAGGGCCCAAGTCGATCAGTTCATCGGTCGAAAGGAGTCGATTTTTCAAAACTGTAAGCCGGTGTTTAGCCAATCCACTAACGTGCCCGTAACTAAGACCCCCACGATTCCGCTAGCGGTACAACCCGGTCAAAACGTACGGAGAAGTTCGAGATTATTCAGTAATAGTTATTCGGTTAAGGAAAACAACAAATCGCCTAGTAGAAATAAGTTTGCTACACCAAAGTCGCCGTCTCGTAAAACCAAACAGCGTATAGCTAAGTGTAATCTGAACAAAAACGCGAACTTCGCGGAAATGAACACTAAGAATAAAATAGAAAAAGAAAAGACGGAAACGGTGACTTCCGCTGACGCGAAGACGGAAAAAAGTGCAATATCCAACACGACAGAGAACTGCTTACAGCAAGTAGTCTACATGCAAAAGCAGAGCGCCGAAGGCTTGATGTCTTTGTTAAGAGAAATCGGCCAGGCTTATATGGATTTGTCGCAGTTCGAGTGCGCCGCCGCCATCGAGAGGCTCAATTCGTTACCACCCAATCAGTTTAAAACCTCCTGGGTACAGTGCTTGTTAGGTCTTGCCTATTTCGAAATGTTAGACTTTGAAAACAGTATTAAATATTTCGGGGAAGTCCACAGTAAAGAACCCTACCGCTTAGAATACATGGATATTTATTCCACGGCGTTGTGGCACTTGCAAAAGGAAGTAACGCTTTCGGCTTTAGCTCAAGATTTAATATCAGCGAATAAAAACTCTCCTCTAACGTGGTGTGTCAGTGGGAATTGTTTTTCGCTACACAAAGAACACGATACTGCTATTAAATTTTTCCAAAGAGCTGTTCAGGTCGATCCGAATTTCCCGTACGCTTATACTCTGTTGGGACACGAATACATCACCACAGAAGAGCTCGACAAAGCCATGAGTTGCTTTAGAAACGCTATAAGACTGGATCCTAGGCATTACAATGCCTGGTTCGGCATAGGGACGATATACTCCAAGCAAGAACGTTATCAATTAGCCGAAATGAACTACTCTAAAGCGCTGTCGATTAATCCGAAGAGTTCGGTGATTCTTTGCCATATAGGTGTGGTTCAACACGCCTTAAAAGATACAGAAAAAGCTTTGGCTACGTTCAACACAGCCATATTCAATAACCCCCATAGTCCACTATGCAAATTCCACAGAGGATCCATCTACTTCGCTCTGGGAAGACACGCCGAGGCTCTCAAAGAGCTCGAAGAACTGAAAGAAATCGTACCCAAAGAATCTTTAGTATATTATCTTATAGGTAAGGTCCACAAGAAACTAGGCAACACCGATCTGGCCCTGATGCACTTCAGCTGGGCGACGGATCTGGACCCCAAGGGAGGCAGTAGTCAAATCAAGGAAGCCTTCGACCCGTCTATAGGCAGGAGCGAGAACGAAGTAGAATCTCCAATTTCTCCTGCTCCGGACGAATACCAATCGGAGAGCAATTCGGTTCCGAGGTTCGGTCCGCTGAATTTCAACGGCTTGCCAGATGACAGTGAAGATAGTTTTTAATAATTTTATTAAGTGTAACTATTGAAAATAGAGTAATCATTTATCGATGTGTGATTCAAACGGTCTAGAATTACTCGCAAAGAATTGGAAATTATATTCATTATACAACTTCGTTTATCCATCAATTTACTGCATTGACCAATTATCTCCACGCTGTTATCTATTGAAAATTCACTCATCTTTGTTTTCTGGTGTTTTGAAATGTATATATGCTATCTCAATGAGTCCCTACTTCTCTTTTTCTTTCGTTTGAGCCGGAATCAATGAAATAAAGGAATCTGTTTTAAATGAGTCAATATACGCAGTCGAGTAATCAAAAAAGATCGATTTATCACCCCACTACACCACCACTTAACTGCTGAATCGATGCGGTGAGTTTTAAGCTTCAAAAACTTCATCAACAGTACTTTAATGAGTCGATACTTTGCAATGGGGTCATTAAAAGGAACCATTTAACACATAACCTTTATTTTATAAGCGTCTGTGAATGTATTTGAAAACTTTTAAGCCAAAAAAATCCTGCTCAGACTAACTTTACTGTGTTAGTTACAGGAAAAATTTATTTTTGTAATTAATTTAATTTTCTGCTTCGTTCGGTCGCCAATAACGTCGGTATAGATCCGGAATCGATCAATTAGATGAGAATGTTAATAATAAGTCAATAATACTCAACTAAGCAATTAAAAGGTTCATTTTACACCACTTGTTTTATCTTAACTAACTTTTAAATCGATTTGGGGACTTCTAAACATCATAAACTTTACTGAAAGTCAAGGTTTCTCTATAGTAGGGAATCAATTCTACGCAATGTACTCATTAAAAGGAACTATTTACTAGACGTCTATTCACAAATTCATGTGAATTTATTGCAGGACTTTTACGCTTAACAAATGCTGCTGACTTGTTATTGCGTTAATTACAGGAGAGGTTGATTTTTTCAATCAATTTGATTTCCTTTTACGTTTGTTCATCCAAAACGTTATTTTACCCCGCCTGTTCGATCGTAACTGACTTTTGAATCGGTTAGACTTGTATGCATCAAGAACTTTGCTGGAAGTCACGGTTTCTCGATAGTAGGGTATCAATTGTACGCAATCGACTCATTAAAAAGAACTATTTACTACAACTCTATTTACAAAGTCATGTGAATGAATTCGAGGACTTTTAAGCTTCACAAAACTGCTAAGACTATCTTTATTGTGTTAATTACACGAGAGGTTGATTCTTTCACTTAATTTGATTCCTTTTTACATTTGTTTATTCAAAAGGGTATTTTACCCCGTCTGCTCTATCTTAACTGACTTTTGAATCGGTTTGAGGACTTCTAAACATTAAAAACCTTACTGGAAGTCACGGTTTCTCGATAGTATGGAATCAACTCTATGGAATCGACTCATTAAAAAGAACTATTTACTACACCTCTAATTACGAAGTAATGTAAATCAATTCGAGTTCTTTTAAGCTTCACAAATCCTGCTAAGACTATCACTAGTTATTGCGTTAATTACACGAGAGATTGATTCTTGAAATTAATTTGATTCCTTTTTACGTCTGTTCATCAAAAAGATTATTTTACCTCGCCTGTTCTATCTTAATTGATTTTTGAATAGGTTTGGGGACTTCTAAACATTAAAAACCTTACTGAAAGTCACGGTTTCTCGATAGTAGGGAATCAATTCTATGCAATCGACTCATTAAAAGGAACTATTTACTACACCTCTATTTACAAAGTCATGTGAATGAGTTCGAGGACTTTTAAGCTTCATAAACCCTGCAAGACTATCGTTATTGCGTTAATGATAGGAGAAGTTGATTATTTCAATTAACTTGATCCCTTTTTACGTTTGTTCATCCAAAAGGTTATTTTACCTCGCCTGTTCTATCTTAACTGACTTTTGAATTGGTTTGGGGACTTCTAAACATCAAAAATTTTACTGGCAGTCACGGTTTCTCAATAGTAGGGAATCAATTCTACGCAATTGGCTCATTAAAAGGAACTATTTACTACACCTCTATTTACAAAGTCATGTGAATGAATTCGAGGGCTTTTAAGCTTCACAAATTCTGCTAGACTATCTTTATTGTGTTAATTACACGAGAGGTTGATTCTTTCACTTAATTTGATTCCTTTTTACGTTTGTCTATTCAAAAGATTATTTTACCCCGCTTGCTCCATCTTAACTGACTTTTGAATCGGTTTAAGGACTTCTAAACATTAAAAACCTTACTAGAAGTCACGGTTTCTCGATAGTAGGGAATCAACTCTATGGAATCGACTCATTAAAAAGAACTATTTACTACACCTCTATTTACGAAGTAATGTGAATCAATTTGAGTTCTTTTAAGCTTCACAAATCCTGCTAAGACTATAACTAGTTATTGCGTTAATTTCACGAGAGATTGATTCTTCCAATTAATTTGATTCCTTTTTACGTCTGTTCATCAAAAAGATTATTTTACCACGCCTGTTCTATCTTAATTGATTTTTGAATCGGTTTGGGGACTTCTAAACATTAAAAGCCTTACTGAAAGTCACGGTTTCTCGATAGTAGGGAATCAATTCTATGCAATCGACTCATTAAAAAGAACTATTTACTACACCTCTATTTACAAAGTCATGTGAATCAATTCGAGTTCTTTTAAGCTTCACAAATCTGCTAAGACTATAACTAGTTATTGCGTTAATTACACGAGAGATTGATTCTTCCAATTAATTTGATTCCTTTTTACGTCTGTTCATCAAAAAGATTATTTTACCACGCCTGTTCTATCTTAATTGATTTTTGAATCGGTTTGGGGACTTCTAAACATTAAAAGCCTTACTGAAAGTCACGGTTTCTCGATAGTAGGGAATCAATTCTATGCAATCGACTCATTAAAAAGAACTATTTACTACACCTCTATTTACAAAGTCATGTGAATGAATTCGAGGGCTTTTAAGCTTCACAAATCCTGATGAGACTATCTTTATTGCGTTAATTATAGGAGAAGTTGATTATTTCAATTAACTTGATCCCTTTTTACGTTTGTTCATCCAAAAGGTTATTTTACCTCGCCTGTTCTATCTTAACTGACTTTTGAATTGGTTTGGGGACTTCTAAACATCAAAAATTTTACTGGCAGTCACGGTTTCTCAATAAATTCTACGCAATTGGCTCATTAAAAGGAACTATTTACTACACCTCTATTTACAAAGTCATGTGAATGAATTCGAGGGCTTTTAAGCTTCACAAATTCTGCTAGAGTATCTTTATTGTGTTAATTACACGAGAGGTTGATTCTTTCACTTAATTTGATTCCTTTTTACGTTTGTCTATTCAAAAGATTATTTTATCCCGCCTATTCTATCTTAACTGTCTTTTGAATCGGTTTGAGGACTTCTAAACATTAAAAACCTTACTAGAAGTCACGGTTTCTCGATAGTAGGGAATCAACTCTATGGAATCGACTTATTAAAAAGAACTATTTACTACACCTCTATTTACGAAGTAATGTGAATCAATTTGAGTTCTTTTAAGCTTCACAAATCCTGCTAAGACTATAACTAGTTATTGCGTTAATTACACGAGAGATTGATTCTTCCAATTAATTTGATTCCTTTTTACGTCTGTTCATCAAAAAGATTATTTTATCCCGCCTGTTCTAATCAAGGTTTCTCGATAGTAGGGAATCAATTCTATGCAATCGACTCATTAAAAGGAACTATTTACTACACCTCTATTTACAAAGTCATGTGAATGAGTTCGAGGATTTTTAAGCTTCAAAAACCCTGCTAAGACTATCGTTATTGCGTTAATTATAGGAGAAGTTGATTATTTCAATTAATTTGACCCCTTTTTACATTTGTTCATTAAAAAGGTTATTTTACCTCGCCTTTTCTATCTTAACTGACTTTTGAATTGGTTTGAGGACTTCTAAACATCAAAAATTTTACTGGGAGTCACGGTTACTCGATAGTAGGAAATCAATTCTACCCAATCGACTCATTAAAAGGAACTATTTACTACACCTCTATTTGTAAAATCATGCGAATCAATTCGAGGACTTTTAAGCTTCACAAATCCTGCTAAGACTATCGTTATTGCGTTAATTACACGAGAGGTTGATTCTTTCAATTAATTTGATTCTTTTTACGTTTGTCTATCCAAAAGGTTATTTTACTCCGCTTGTTCTATCTTAACTGACTTTTAAATCGGTTTGGGGACTTATAAACATCAAAAACTTTACTGGAAGTCACGGTTTCTCAATAGTAGGGAATCAAGTCCACGCAATTGGCTCATTAAAAGGAACTATTTACTATACCTCTATTTACAAAGTCATGTGAATTAATTCGAGGGCTTTTAAGCTTCACAAATCCTGCTAAGACTATCGTTATTGCGTTAATTACAGGAGAGGTTAATTCTTGCAATTAATTTGATTGTCTTCTTCGTTTGTTCATTCAAAAGGTTATTTTAAACCGCCTATTCTATCTTAACTGACTTTTAAATCGATTGGGGGTCTTGTAAACATCAAAAATTTACTGGGAGTTGCGGTTTAGATAGTAACGAATCAGTACTACGCAATCGATTCATTAAAAGTAACCATTTATTACACTTCTATTTAAAAAGGCATGTTAATGAATTCGAGGACTTTTAAGCTTCGCAAATCCTGTTTAGACTAACATTAATATAAAATTACTCTCCAAAAGTTGATCAACGAAAGAAACCATTCATTAAATCTCGACTTTTTCAAATGGCAGCTGAATCAGTTTTGAGAC